CCGTCTCTGCCATTCCCATCATTCTTTTGGGCTGTGAGGAATCTTTTCCTCCTCACCTCTCTGCATTTCATTCTCCTTCTCCTTTCCTTCTTCTTTTTTTTTTTTTTTTTCTTTTTTCTTTTCTTCTAAATACCATTTCTCCTCTTCCTCCTCCTTTGTTTCTCACTGTCTGTGATTTTTTTTTTTTTTTCCTGTCACCCAAACCACAGAGCAGACACGCAAACTTTATAGTCCTCACTTCTGTGACACGGAACCTCCGCTCTGTTCACTTGAAGGCTTGTAAAGAACCTTTCCCTGAGTCTTTGGCTTTGATAATGTGGGTACACAAGTTTACAGACACACACACACACACACACACTAAAGGAGAGGTGGATCTGAGAAGGTGTTTAAAAAAAAGAGAGAGAGAGAAACACGGACCCAGTAGAAAATCTTCACACGTCGAACAAACACGGAGGTGTATAGTATAAAATAACACAGAGCAGGAGATTACATTAACATAAACCGACCTGCACACACACACACACACACACACTCTGTGTGTGTGTGTGTGAGGAACATGTGCGTTGCAGTGGAAGGCATGTTAATAAGTGGCCTGGGGGCAGATTTGGGCTCCCATGGGGGGAGTCCTGCCCCGCTCTGTAAAGCTCCCGACTCTTCTTAAATCGCCCATTAAACACGGTACACAGGTGGCTTATTAAAGTGTGTCAGACGAGTACGACACACACCGATCAGTCAGTCGTACACAAAAGTGACAAATACAATCACATGCATTTACTCCTGTAATGTTAATTATTTCTTCATTCAGTGAAACCTGAGGAAATAATTCAGATTTTTATTTTTATTTTTTTGGTTCTTTTCCTTAAATTTGTTTCTTTATTTAAGTCTCTTTTCATAAATTAAATTTCACTTTTAAACCAATGCAACATTTTCACTCTGTTCTGGACAAACATCAACGCTTTAATTTTATAAATTAATTTTCACTTTTAAACCAATGCAACCTTTTCACTCTATTCAGGATAAACATCAATGCTTTAATTTTTTTTTTTTTTTTTAATTTTTAATTTTTTGTAACTCTCTCTGTGTGTGTGCCAACAACAGCAGAAACTCGGCCAGACTCATATGAACCTGGATCCTCGAGATCTGGACGATGACGAGCTGGACACTGCAAGCAAGTAAGTCTTTTACTTTCATTTTGAACTCATTTATTTATTTATTTGTTTGTTTTTTTTGTTCAACCGCTGAAAACATGTTATGAATCAAACACATTAAAAATCAACGTGGTCTAGTGTGAAGTCTGACCCTCCTTCAGTAAATTACTGATTAAATCTATTAGCACAAACCTGACAGGGTCTTTAGAAGCATGCTTTACTCATGATAACACTGCCCTCAAGTGGACAGTTTAAGGAAAGGCGTAACCCGCCTGAAAGTGCTGGTCATCTTCTGAAAAACGCTGCACTTCTGATTGAGCACGCAGTAGTTTTCACCACTTATCTTCTTGAAACCAAACAAACTTCCTGTCTCCTCAGGATCTCCTCAGAGGACAGTGGAGACGTTCCCTCCTACACGGAGGACAGCGATGACTCACTGGACCTTGACATTGACTCCAGCAACCCAGGTCAGATGAACCTGCTGGCAGAGATCCTGGACTCTCTGAACACCAGCACACTGGAACAAGGGAAACTCAGCGCCGCCAAGAGCCTGGACTTCTTCAGGTCCATGGAAGACCTGGACTACACTGGCCCGGTACGACAGAAAACTCACGACTACTAAAGAATTGTAACAGTATCTGTGACAAGTACAGTCTAAATCAGGCATGGGCAAACTAAGGCCCGTGGGCCGGATGCGGCCCGTTCAGCTTTTTTGTCCGGCCTGCCCAACTTTTCCAAATTACATAATTTATGTATATGTCACTATACTTCTGCCTTTTCCCTGCAATACCTACGTTTTTTAGCTTTTATACATGACTTTTACATCTTAGTTCACGCGAACGCTCCATCAAATTTTAGGACAATTGTGGCCCGCGAGTCATAGGTTTGCCCACGTCTGGTCTAAATACTTAGTGACGTTATTGTAAAATTCGGAACAAACTTATTATCCTACAACAACAACAAAAAAAAGACTTGGGTAAATATTTACTCACAGCTGGGAAGTTTCTGTTCTGACCCCTAGGGGGAAAACAGAGACATGACAAGTGAGGCAGTGGATGATCTGTTTCAGCCTCTGGTCTATTTTCTGCATATTCCTTGAATAAATCAGAGCAGAGTAAACTGTTTCCACATGTATCTGTTCTCAGAGTTTTTACAAACTCTACCCTCAGGCTGAGGGTTTTGGCTCAGACACTGAGTGAGTTTTTACTGCGGTGCAGGAGGAAGCATCCGTGCGCTCAGAGCATCCATGTTTTAAAGGAACGTGCATATTTTTTTTGACAAATCTCAAATATTTGTTTAACAGGTTTTTTTTCTGCAAAGTTACGACACGTCTGGGGATTTTTCTCCATTTCAAGAAATGAACCCATGGCGTACTTTCAGGACAAATGCCTCTAACCTTACACTTTAACACACTCTGATGTTGAGAAGTAGGTCAAAAAGGTCGTCATGATCCTGGTGGGATCTTGTTACAAAAAAAAACATTTTCTACAGACCATTTTTGTAAGTGTTTCTTGGAGGCCAGATAAGCGAGAACTCCTAGTTCATCCAAGAGGAGGAGATGACTGAAGTTTTGAACATCCAGACTCTGTGAAGTCAGACTAAGAGACCAAAGCCTCCAACAATCACTGTTGCCAGATACAGTCAATGATTTCCAGCCCAAAAATTGTTCAAATGTTGCCAGAAGTCACAAAAAACGTCCAGAATATTTCTGAAGTATTTAAATCAGAGCTTTTGCTGCTCTGTTCTCCTCTTTTTGCCAAACCTTAAAGTGGTGCAGAGCAGCAATACCACAGAGAGTTCATAGAAAATGGACGCTGCGATCTCATTGGAGAGCTTTGGAAAAACGTTCTTTGCCAGTTCTAGTTTCAGATAATATTTTTCTCTGTTGACAATTTTGATTAAATCTAATCTTGGTCTTTTGACCAAATATGTTACATAAAAAATGTAAGAAAATCACCTGTCGTCTTATTTTCTTTTGACCAGGTATGTTACATAAAAATGTAAGAAAATCACCTGTCGTCTGTTTCCCTCTAAACAGGATCATAGTTTCTATTTTTATAGATTTATATTTTTATAAAGCCTTCAGAAAAACTGTATTTTTTTAAGTATGTTGGTTGGTGTGATAAACATTCATTTACATGTGTATATTTCTATTGAAATACTTCAGAAACTCACTCAAACTCCTCCCCCGTTTCTCCTCACACAGACCAAACCAACTTCTACTAGTCTGTCTAAACCTGTAGAGGGCAGCAGTGACGACGTGAGTGATGACCAGGGAGGCTGGAACATGGGTCAGGACGACAGCGTAGTCCACGGAAAACACCTCCCACCATCTCCGCGCAGACAACCCAACAGGGTGACCCTGAGTAAACCGGCGGACGCCCCTCCAGTGACCGTGGTCAGTGCCTCACCCCCAGTGACCGTGGTCAGTGCCTCACCCCCAGTGACCGTGGTCAGTGCCTCATCTCCAGCCAACACTGCCAGAGTCTTCAGGAACCAGGAATTCTCCTCCCGTTCCAGTTCCGACCTCCTGTCCAAGCCCTTACCTGTGGGACGAGCACCAGACCACCGCTTCTCCTGTTCGCCCTCACTGTTTAACAAATTGACCCCCCCGCCGCCGTCTCCCGCCCTCTCCGACGGTCCCCGCTCCTCAGACACTTCTCCTCTTCCCACAGTCAGATCACGGACTATTTCAGAGCCTAAAATCAACAACGAGCCCCCGGAGATCCAGAACCAGTGTTCGTCCACGAGCATCCTGAGGAGGAAAGTACTTTCCAAGGACGTGGTGAGACAGTACCAGGAGAAGGCCCAGCAGAAGCAGAGCGGCAGAGGCCCAGAGGAGGGGGAGGAAAACCAGTTCAAGCAGAGATATTCAGCTCTGCCCGTTCCATGGGAGAAGGAAGGGTCACAGAGGGGTCAGCAGGACAACGACCAGTCCGTGGATCAGAGTAAAGGCTCCGGGGTGGCTCTGGGCCGGGAGCAGGAGAAAGACAAAGAGTCCATGTCCTGCCGCAACTCGGTGGTCCACACCAGGCCACAGCTGTTAAAGGTTCAGTGCAACAACAGTAATCACCGGAGCAAAAACCCCAACGAGACATAAGCGATGTCGAAAAAACTGATGTCTGTGAAATTTCAACGGATTCTCATGCAGTTTTACGTTACAACGATAGAAATGTAAAATAATATTAATGATCAGCCGCAGACGTCACCAGATAAATAGAATAAAAAATTCGACCCAAAGCTCTGAGAAAACTTGATGTCTCACAGAGACCGTCAGGGAGCGGCTCTGCTGCGGGACAGAGAACGATGTCTTCTTCTACTGTATCCTCTGTTTTTAAGCTGTGATGAAATCCTTGTTGATGATAATGACTGACTGTACAACACAAGTGTCTTAACACATTTCCAAAATAACTCCCCAAAATACTCGTAGTTACTCCAAACGACATCAGTAAGTAGTCGTCGTAATAATAATAATAATAATAAGGATGTCACAGCAGTAGCAGGTTTTTAATGCCACGCAATGTTCATTTATTTAGTTGATTTGGTGCTAAAGTCTCTGTCGGAAATAGTTTGCAACTCAAACCTTTTGTGGTTGAGCCAAGGAAAAACAACAAGACAAACTCTGTTACAGACACAGACAGTTAGCCTAGCTCCATGCTAAATCATTTAGACCTGTATTCACAGAAGGTAACAGTGACCTGTATAATGCTTTTTTTTTTTTTTTTTTTGTTTTTTTGTAGTTAACAAACGTTAAACTTGATGGAGAAATCGTTCACATTTTTTCCAGGATGGAGTTAGGTTTAAAAAAGGACAACTCCTCGCCGCTAACCTTCAACTCAGACTAAAACAGACATTTGATCTGATCAAATTATATATATATATATATATATATATATATATATATATATATATACACATATATAGCACAAACAAAAATCCTGGTACTAAAATATTTCAGGGCCTTGCCTTAAATGGTAAAGTTATATTGTATGCAGATGACACTCTAGTATCCTAGGGATCACGGAGCAGAGCAGAAAAATGAATTTTGGCGGCCATACTTTTTTGTGGATGTGTCTCACAGCCAGTGGACAGTTTTTGGTCAAAGAGTGACATCACCTTTCAGTAGAACATCCGCGTCACCAGAACCTGAATGATAAGTTCACTCCACCACGTTAATGTCTACAAACAAACCAAATGTAGCTCAAACAGACACTTTTGTCTGAGCGACAGTGAATCTGAGTCAAACGTCAGACTACGATTCAAAAGCCATTTAAACAGAAAAAAAATATAGCAAAATTATAATTATGTATTTTTTTTATTATAACAAATGTGCTTTGAGCTGCTGTTTTTGTTACATTCCAGATCATGACTAAAAAAAATGCTTTTTTCTCTCAGGACACTTTCTCTAAGATGCAACAAAGTCAGAAATGTAAATGGCTGATTTTTTTTTTCCTTCTTCGTATATTTCTATTTTCTACGTTAATTTTCCGCCTGTTACTCGTCTCTCTGCGTGTTTAAGTTTCACCTTTTAAAGAAATCATGACTGACAAGTGCTTAGATTTAAAAGTGATAAAGTGTTAAAGTGAAACTCGATGCTAACACCTTACATTCCCGACATTTTCTGTTTAATCTGTAGAAAACCCTGTAAACGGTACAAACAGTAGTACGATTTGTGTACGATTTTTATGTTTCTCTGTTTTGTTTTTTGTCATTCCTTCGGTGATCCTTCTGAACCATATCCATTCTGTTGGTCACATAAACTTTAGAGCGGGCTGACAGTTGTTCCCATTTCTGTCGAACTCCCGCAGATAATGGGAGTAAATGATATTTATCCATAAAAATAGCGCTAAACTCAAAGCCACTGTTGTTTTCACAGGATTCGTCGGCTTTCAGAAAAGAAAAAAAGTCTATTTTTAGAATCCTTACAACCCACTCTTTGTGTCCCACATGTTGAAATGCAATCTGTATGCGTGTGTGCGTGTGTGTGTGTGTGTGTGTGTGGACTGGAGTCACACTGCACTGTGATGCAGTGATTGACGATTGTACTGTAATGCAGCAATAAGGTTCTCCTCAGAGAGCAGCGACGTGGATGTAATGTGTCCAGAGTCCAAACTATTTCTGTGGCAGACTCTCCTGTGGAGAGAAGGCCGCGTCCAGAGCCTGTGGGTTCCCATCATTCTCTGAGTCACCACAAGCCCGGGGAGAGGGAGAAGCTTTTTCATGTGCTTGTGTTGGGAATATTACATTTATGGTTCGTTGTTCCTATGATTTATGCCAGACGCCAGTCGGTGTGGCACTTTAATAGCAGCTATTCCTCCACTTCTTGAGTGCTGCTTTGCGTTAACGATTCGCCCATAAAGTCTTTGGCGCTCTTCTAAAAGCCCAGGCCTAGAAATGCCCACATGGAGAAAACAGACTCCAGAACAGTGTCTGTGCTGCTCGTTTACTGCAAACAAATTTATTACTATGCAAATATTAAAGAATCAGAAATATGTGGTTTTACTTGAAGAGTAATCCTGAGGTTGCTTTGTTGTTTTGTTTTTTTGTTACCTACAGTGGTGTGTGTGAGTTTTTGACCAGGCCCGGGTTTGTAAGTTGGACCCACACAAATCAGTTATCCTGCAAGAAATACTGTTGACCAAAGAGTTTATGGTCGGACCAACACAAAAATGGATCAGTTATCCTGTAAGAAATACTGTTGACCAAAGAGTTTATACAAAAGGTTTTTATTTTTTTAAGTTCTTGTTAAAAACCCTCTCAAATCTGCAACAGATGCTGAATGATTCAGGATCTACTTCCTGTCCAAACACATTTGGTTTGTTGATGTTACGGCATTTTCGTCAGTATGTGGACCAGGTACATGATGAAATACAGCCCTAAACTGTGACAGAGCTGCTGGGCTATAAGTGCCAGACAGATACTTATAGTGTTTTTCCCAGTATTCCTCTCATGTACTGACTGAAAAATCAATTAATGTTTTATGTAGCAATTTTTTTCACTTGTTTTTCTCTGAATTCTAACTCTTTATCTCAATTAATAAACTAAAGTTCAGGAAATGGATCCCAGATCAATTTTGTAAGACCTTCTAAAAGAACATGGAACAGTTTTGGATTAAGAAGTGCCAAAGTTACAGGTGTTTGGTTTTTTTTTGTTTGTTTTTTTGTTTTGTTTTAAGCTCCTTCAGCTGTTTGAAAGACTTAAACACACCACTGTATGTCGATGACGCTCATGTTTCCTTAAATGGATATTCTTGGTCTGTTTGAACAGTGAGAACTGAGGCGTCAGTGTTTGTGCCTTGTACAGTCGTCTCAGTACAATCACAACCTGGTAGGAAACGTTACAGTATTACAGAAGGCGGTGCAATCTTTTATTTAGCGCCACCTTGGGTCACATTGAGGGACAAAATATATATGTATTTGTGTTAAATTACTATGAAAAGACAAAGTCTTATTTGGACCTGAGAAACTCAGCTGAATACACCTAGATTGTTAGTTTTGTACTGGAATCAGAGAAACTGTCAAGAATGTTAAGTCATTGAAATGAAACATGGACACACCAGAGTGATGTCTGAATAATTAAAAATATAAACTGTTGAATTTATTGTTTTCATTCTGTAAATCAAAGACTTCAATCTCTCTTTTACATTATATTACATTATATTTTCCAAACACTCATCCTGAGCAGTCACAGTTATATATGTATATTTATATGTATGAATATGTGTTTATATATGTATACATATATACTATATGTGTATATGAATATGTATATATATTTATGTGCATATATATTTACATATATACATACACCGAGACTGTTTTCTTGAGTCACTTCCATGATAATTAAATATTATTTTCATCTGAATAGATATGTATTTTTCTGGCCTGAGTATATTTTACACAAATAATATATGATAATATATGATATGGTGTTGTGTATGTTGTAAAAAAAAAACAACCTATATATAAATATTTTAGATTTTATTTTTGGAGGAGAAAAGAAATATATATAGAGAGATTATAAAACAAAGTTGTCTCATGTTCACAGACATGATTTTGTTCCGGTACTTTTCTCTTTGTTGTATGTGCGTGTACTGTGTGTATCTGTGCAGTACGGTGAATGTGTCGTACACACCAGTGCTTTTGTTCAGTTTTACAGCTGCGTTCTAAAGTTTTTGGTACTCACCATTTTGGGTACAATGTACTATCCTGTACATGAAAAACACAGAAGGAAACATTGACCTCTTCGGCCCTGAAGAGGTCAAACAGAATTTAGATCTTTATATTTAATATAAATTTTCTCTGAACAGGACAAGTTTTGATCTGCTGTTGACTCAGTTAGGAATTCAATAGCCCACACACTGGAGACAAATATGAGACAAGAGTTAATAAAGAGTTAGTCACCTGAGTTTACTCCTTCCAAGTTGAACTTTTGTTTCATGTTGCAGAGATAATTCGAATTCACATTGACCAATCAGAAGACCTGCATTCACCCAGCGCTGTTTTCTGTTCCTTTCATTCCAGTGTTTTCTTCATATGCTAATGATAATTATGATCTCTGTGCCATTCACTCATTCGTTTCATTTCCAACGTTGGCCACACGTGCATGTGTTTTAGCAAAAAAAAATTTAAATAATAATAAAAAAAACAACAACTCTGTAACTGCTGAGGTCAGTGGACTGGGCTTCTGATGAGTGAACCTGGTCCAACTGAAGCTAACTGTGCGCTGTGAAGTGAAAGTGGAAATAACTGAACTGAAATAAAATAAAAATGAATAAAAACATTTCAGTCTCACCAGTCTCTGCTTTCATCTTTAGGAAAAGTCAATTTTGTCGACCTGTGTTTTTTACAATCGTCGACCTTTGTAGGTTGTACCAGAGCAGAGTCTGTGCCAAAATGTTGTTTCTCAACCATTAAAAACACCACAGTAAAATAATAATAATAATGTCAGCGTATCACAGTAAATTATTCACAGATATTTACAGTGTGAATCTGTTAGTCCTTGGTTTAGTGTGGATTAGGAGTGAGATTGTTTTCTATTTGTCACTTCCCTACTCGACTGCAGCCAATCACACGAGTCCCTGCTGATTGGTCCTCACTAATGACCAGCTCTGGTTCACTGGAGGTCATCTAATCTGACCATGATCTGACAGAAAGAACGAGCTGAAGATAATTTTGTTGAATACTGTCTTTAATCAAACTATTATTGGACAGTGAATTTCAGCACAATCATGAATTTGAGGACAAAATAAAAATTAGAAATAAAAACACACTTTTGAAGGAACCTGAATAAAGAACTGTTCTAACATCATCTCAGGTCAACGGATGGATTAATTCATACAAATATATATTTATGTTTTTACACTGAACTCAATTCACTGCTAAAAACTCACTAAAACACATTTAATAAATTAAAATTCACACAGTCAACAGTAACTAACAGATTGTTCATACTTTTGGCAAAACACTTGGACACAAATAATCCACTTAAAAAAACTGCTAAAACAGTATTTTCAGTTGAGATTAAAGAGTATATATTTAAATATACAAGAGAAATGAATCTCTACGCCAACCAATGATTGTTTTCTGTCTTCTGTTTCATAAACTGCAGGAAGTTTACAACAGGAAAATCCTAGATTTTTAAAAAAAATCATAAATCGACGATAGTATATTTATCAGTATATTTAAATATACAAGAGAAATTAATCTCTACACCAACCAATGATTGTTTTCTGTCTTCTGTTTCATAAACCGCAGGAAGTTTACAACAGGAAAATTCTAAAGAAAATTCTAGATTTTAAAAAAAATCATAAATCGACGATATTTGCTGAATCGTGACTACAGCACTTTGTAGCGGACCAGACGATGATTAGCTCCTAGCTTGTTCCCAAAATGTCTAACAGGAACGTTTTAATAAAATGCACATCACATTTGGCCACAAACTGAACTATTTTACTAAACAAAATATATTACGACACATTTAAACTTATTTTCCTTGTTTTCAGAGTGATATTTGAATCCTTCTGTTCCACCAACACCAGTGCCTGAATGGAACCTGAACTAAAATCATTGCATCAGTCGGACGCGGAACAGATGGAGACGGCAGGAAACCGATATCTCTCAAAGATGGATTGACCGGAAGTCAGACCTGATCTTTATGAGGCTCTAAAGTGGATTTTATTTGGCGGCCTCCTCGCCACCAATACTATCGACTATTGTCAGAGCTTGATCGTTCACACAGCCCACTGTCAAATAATTACAAGCTGCAGCTGCACAGCCCAGACGGGGGGTCGGGGCGGTGGGTTTGGACAAACCGGCCGTATTAGGTTGCCTGGATTTTAAAGGTCCGACATGTCGCATCTGAGCAAAACTGAAGTGACAGTTAATGTTGGAAAGTTGTCGGGTCGATTCCTGATTCCTGAGTATTTATTAGTCCAGAGGGAGAAGAGTTCGCTCCGTGTCGTGTTCTGGAGTCGTTGAGGGAGATTGACGGAGAGCCGAAGTTAACAAGTCAACAGGTTATGAAAAATGCCTGGAGAAGGTTTTTAATGTCCAAACCTCAAGAACACGGTAAGTTCTCCACCGTGGAACTGTCACCTTTCATTACCGATTAGAGGTTTAGTTTAAACAAGGGCTGAAAGTTCACATTTTAGGGTCTAAAGTCTAAACCCTAATTGAGTCTGTTTTGATTTTACGAGGATGTTTCCGGGTAATCCAGCAGAGGGAGCTATGTATGTATAAATGTTTAAACTTGGACACTGTTTGTTTTCATGTTGTGTGAAATGCCCAGGTCTGCTGTAGGCTAAATGGTACTTAGCTCCACTGCCTGTTAGGAATTCATGAGAATTATTGTTGTTTTTGGCATTTGCAAGTGAGAGGGAAAAGTATCTGAAATACGCTAAATTTCCCCAGCTAGCTTTGCCACAATAGCACATTGCAAATACCGCTAAAGCTAGCCGTTCTGCTCAATAAGATCACAAGAAAACCAGCTAGTATGCTGTTTTACTGTTAGCATGTTAACAGTTCATGGGTAGAAACCTATATATATTTTTGTTGATTTATCACATTGTATGTTGTGCCACTGTGAGTTTTGTGTGTTGTGAACAACCGTGAACATTATCATCAGGTTCTTACATAATGTAGTTTATTAAAAACTGTGACGTAACATATTTTTGTTTGTTTGTTTTTTAAACCCAAAACATCACATTTTACCCAGAGTGCTGCTCTCTGACTACTACGCCTCTGCGCCTGCGCAGGAGAAACATGTTGATGACAAACACGAAGCCACGAACATTTTTTTCTGTACTTCTAAATATGTTTCATTTTATTCTAAAAATGGCTCTTTTTTTTAGCAATAGTTCAAAAAGTGTGCAAGTAGATGTAGGTAAAATGACGTCCACCTTCAGAGTCCACACTCTCCACTGTTCATATCAGTCTCTCTGTAGGAGGTGGTTGTGTGATGCTCCACATCTCCACCCGTGATCCGTCCTTCTCCTGTCGGCTGGGGCTGTAGGTGCCGTGGGTCGCTCTGCGAGTTAGCGCCATCCCCAGTCCGACTGCAGTCAGGATAAATATCAGCAGCAGGGTGACGGACACCAGACTGACGTAGAGTAAAAGGTCTGAGGTCAAACCCACAGGGGTCAACTGCAGGGAGGAGAAGACGGAGTTAAACCAGAAATGAAGTTCATTCACAACAAGTCTTTTAAATTCCCTCAGTCACACACTCTTACACACACTGCGCCCCCTCCTGACTGTCACTACACCAGACGCTCCACACGTGCGGCCAAAGTGCTGATGGAAGTGTTTCCCATCTCAGTAGGTGGGCTGCGACCCTCAGAGGCCTCTAGCTGCCGTGGACTGAAACCTCCCTCCGTCCGCCGCCTCTCTCTCAGTTTGGCTACGGCCATCGTCAGCCCAACCATCACCACTATCACCACAGCAATCAGACAGGGAACCAGCACAGCGGCCACCCGTGAGCTGTGAGGAGCTCTTATTATCTGTGGACCGTCACACACACACACACACACACACACACACACACAGGTTTCCTTTTTTTGCATGGACTTTTTGAAAACACCATGGTAACTCATGTGATGATTTGGAGTTAGCATGGGCGGCTAGCTAAAGAAATCTGCCCCCAGTGCAAACCAGTGGACAGTGTTTTCATTTAATTTTTGCTATTGCTGTAAAAGCTGTGCTCACTTTCTGTCCAGCTGGATTATTGTGATGACTTTCTGTGAAGAAAGTTTAACTTTTAATGTGCGTTTTCCAGGATTTGCATTAGCATATTGTTGTAGCTTATCTTCAGCTAGATTCTGATCAATTTTATGCTAACTTTTTTTCATTCTTTGTCTAAATTAAAACTGTTCCTTTGGAAACATGTTAGTCATACCTGACTGTCTGTCTAACTGCGATTAATTTGCAGGTAAATTTGAACTCACTCTTAGCTCATGGCTACATTTGGAACATTTCTTATTTGTTTGACTTCAAGTGTTTGTAACTGAGCAGTTGCTGTTCAACAAAATTTAGCGTAACACAGTATAGTCACATATCACTTGATTCTGGTTTTGTGTATCCCATGAAAATTGTCCCCAGAAAAGGATGAAAACCAGTACACACTAGCTTGTGCGCACGCACACACACACAGACACACAGAGAATCACAAGCCACGAGCCAAGAGCGTCTGATGGCAGCAGTAAGAATCTGCGTAGAATCATATTTAACAAACCCATTGATCCTCACACACCGAAAAAGTCACAGAAACACCTTTAGAACCAACCAGAAACGTAGGAACCCTGCACACACCCACACACACCCACACACTCTTGTAGAATTCTGAGAGGACCAGTCAAAGCCATGGACTCAGTAGGAATCAAAGCAGTGAGTGATTGTTAACATTCATTAACCAGAAGCAGCAGCAGCAGCAGCAGCAGCAGCAGCAGCAGCAGCTGATACACTTACATGGCTGGCCGTGGTGGGTGTGATGGTGGTGACACCGTGAGTGGCTGATAAAAAGGTTAGCAACAGCACAACAGCAGTAAGTTTGGTTCCATAACACTTAAAATTCAGGCTGACACCGTCTTTATCAGCGAGGCAGGCTGCTCAGCCTGACAGCTCACACAAGGCCCTGCGAGGGAATCTCAGAAGTCAGCAAACTTTTCTACTCAGCAATCAATGTGGAAACATAATTCTAATAAAAATTCAACAATCCATGACCTGAGGCAAAAAATAACTCGTGCACCGGCGCTCACTCGCACTGCAGCCGTTACACTCTCTCTGCCCCCCCCCTCTCTCTCTCCCTTGCTACAGGTTCTTTGTTGACTGCTGGAAAGTGCTTACCTGTCAGCGCGGCACAGTTGGCTGCCACAGCAAGTGTGACACCAGCGAGCCACGGCAGCCTGCAGCCAGGAGCCGCCATCAGTCACTGATGCCACACACACACCGACACAGAGACGTCTGACTAACCAGTCTCTGAGGTACACTGCATGGCAAGGCCACCCTGGAGCCTTAGCTGTATCACACACACACACACACACACACTCAGACACACACACACTCACGGTGAGAAGGCAGCTCTGCTTCACTGCTGTCAGCACTATCAACCTGCTTTATATGTGTGTGTGTGTGTGCAACATAAGCTGCCCTCATACACGCCTCTGAAGCAGGCCCAACTTCTGTGAGTGCCACCAGTTCTCTGCTGAAGCTGCACTTCAGCAGCAGATGCTGCTTTTCCGCTGGCCCAGCACATTTCCCTGTCTCTGTGGATGTGGACGGTCACATCAGTGCCGACGGTGAAGAAGTGCCTCTCATTTCCTCCCCCATGTTCCTCCCTCCATCAAGGCTACATCTACCGAACCGCTACACGCACATACACACACATAGACTTGAGGACAATACAAGATTGAGACAATACTGTGGTGCAGGAGAGACAGGAGAGACAGGAGAGACAGGAGAGACAGGAGAGACAGGAGAGACAGGAGTGTCGTCCAGTCGTAGTCAGTGATGCAGACGAGTTAGTTGCGATGAAGAACAAACGTAGCTACACGTTTGTGATGTGATTTGGTTTGATTGACAAAAGAGATCAGACGTTCTGATTGACTTTGTCTTTGGAGACGATTAAGAATTTCGTTAGGCTGAAGTCACGGTCCGTATGAGGAACCTGCTGTGTCAGTGGTTTTAGTCTCTGAGTATTTTGTCCTTTTTTTTTTGGTAAATTTTATGAGCAATTTCAAACAAAGCCTTGCTGCTGATTGGTGCTTCAGTCTCTTTCTACGGTGGGACTGTCCTCATGCTATGGATGCCCGTGCCCTGGGTTTGTCTTTTTGGACACTCACCTACTCTGTCATTACATCACTTCCTGTCTGTCTCCTCCCAGCGTTTCCTCTCTGGTTTGATCTTTTCTCTTCTGGTCTTTCGTCTCTTTCTAGACTCTGATTCTTGTGTGTTCTACTGTGGTTCTTTGGAGTGTCAGGGTCTTCAGGTTAGACCCCAAATTAATTTGAAAAATAATGTTTTGTCTTCACTCCATCGTGCTTCTGGGCTGAATTAAAGCTGGGCAGTATTTAAACCTGTTGATGTTCTGAATATCTACGTTAGATTGTCAGACATCAGAAAACAAAGATGGTCGAAGTAAACCTGGTAAAAATGAGGTTTGCACCAAAGTGACAGGAAAATGGAGTTAGTGTGAGGTTTTACTGTTTGATGGAAAAATGAGTGGAAATGGATGAAAAGAAGACGGAAGACAAAATGAAGAATGAGGAGAGTTTTATTTGACAGCAGTGGAGACAAAGACTGGAGTTTGACAGAACATTTGACGATGAAGCAGAGACAGAGACAGAAAACAAATAGTTTAAGAACAGTGGGGCGTTAATCACAAAGTGTAAAAGACAGAGGTTCAGATCAGGGGTGTTCAACCTGTGGCTCTTTAGTCTCCTAACTACGGCTCCCTGGAATTGACCAACTTTAGTCTTATGTCTGTTTCTGTGTGGAGAGTTGCAGACCCTGGGTCTTGTAATTAGGATTTTGTATTTGTTTTTTTCTTTTGTTTTTTTTTTACAAATCTCTGACCACAGCATCATGGTTGGTTCCTCCTGTCAGTTGGTTCTGTTCACGCAGGGTTAAAAATATCACTGTCTCACCAACTCGGTTTGGAAACATGAGGGATTTATTTTTTTCTGTGCTACAAAACAACGCAGCAGTCAGTCAGTCAGTCAGTCAGTCAGTCAGTCAAAGCCACAGACATCACAGCTGAGTGGATGTATATCCACATCTGACAGACAGCGTGTTGTCTTGTAGCCTCTGTTGGTGCTTTGATATCTGGGGCTCAGACACGGCGGCTGACAGCGTGTGTTCAGATGGAGACATTATAAATAACACAGTTTGTAATGCTGCTCATTTGATAAAAAAAACAAAACAAAAAAACCTGTCGACACTGCAGGTAGATGTCACTATTGTCGTTCAAACCTGATCAGGAAGTTAACGTTCTCTAAAACTACTTTAATGTTTAAATCAGTAAAATAGCAAAATTAGCTTTTCACAATAAAGTGCTGATGATGACTGTGGACATTCATGTTAAGGCACAGACACAGCTCAATCACTGCAGGTTAATAAAAAGAAAACGGAACTCTGTGGGTGGGTCACTGAGCCCTAGTGGACAGAACTGGTCAGTGCACCAGAGAGCTGAGAGTCAAACCTCTGCAAGGTGGACATTCTTTTGAACATGCTGATGTTTTTGGAGACCTGTTATTTAAAATAAATAAAGTATAGCAAATTCTAATGATTAAATATACATTTAAGAAGAAACGTGAAGACAGAATTAACCAATCAGCAAATGCTATATTTTTTATATTTTACTGTTTTGGTAAAATGTGGTGCAAATATGATAAAAGATGAAAGTTGTGTTGTAGATGTGTTGTGAAAAGCCTCAGTTCCAACACACACACACACACACACACACACCCAGCCAGCATCAGTCGCCCCCCCCCCAGTCCACCTCCGGCTCATCATCCAGTCTGAGGATGAGGTAGGACAGCAGCTGGAAGAGGTTCTGCCACAGCAGCAGAGCCACGTAAAAGTAAATGTCGCTTACGTCCGTTTGGCAGAATTCTCCGGCGAAGCTCATCTCGCACACGCAGACAAACTTGTTGATGAGGTTGCGACAGTAGCCTCCGTTCAGACAGGGATTGGACTTGCACTCATCCACCTCCTGCTCACACCTGTAAGAAACCAACAGTCGCGTTCAGGTCAGTCGGAGACACGCGTGTCAGTGATGTTGGAGCTGCTGAGATTTAGAAGGCGGCGGTTGTCAGTTCTGCTCACTGTTTCTACAGAAAGACTCAGAGAGAGATGGCTTCAGATGACACTGTTCTCCTAATCTCTGTCACTTGATTGACAGGTAGCCACGCCTCAAACTGATCTCTTTGAACCTTAGAAATCTTCATTTAATCTGAGATAGTCGGATACTGAGGAAGTAGTAGAAGTAGGGATAGTATATTGTATATATATGTACATGTACATTTGTGTGTGTATGTGTTTATATATGAAATATATTTTGGTTCCAGGATGTGTGTGTATGTGTATATATATGAAATATATTTTGGTTCCAGGCCTTTATCTAACACCAAGGTCCAGTACTGATATAATAAATCTCCTGTCCTACCTGTGTCCAGTGAATCCAGGTGGACAGTCACAGGACAGCTCTCTCTCAGTGCAGTTCCCTCCATTGAAGCAGGTGTAGTTCCTGGTGTCGTCTCCACACACAGAGACGGGCAGCTTTGGACGTCTGGTAGAAAATAATCAGACACAACATAGTGGTTACAATTTGTTTTTTTTCTTACACAATCTGAAAAAAAATTTTTTTTTTCCTTCTCACAATAACAATGCTGTTAAGTTTTCCCAGTTCTTATGTTGATTAGTTGACAGTTAAAGTGAACTTGTTGACCGTGATCTGAAATTTGACACTTAGGTTCACATTTTGGAACAAGAAATAGAAAACAAATACCAGACACAAGAGAGAAGAAGAAGAGTAGAAGAAAAGAAGAAGAAGCAGTGGAAGTACTTACACTTTTCTGACAACAATGTACCACGGTATTTCTTCAGTGCGTTCACTGCAGCGAAACAGGAAGAAAGGAGGAGAGATGGGAGTAGAAAGCGACACAAACAGGAGAGACAAACAAAACGAAATCATTTTGATGAAAAGTTTACAGTGAAGACGTTTCCCACTAAAGGGAGACGTGCAGCTTGTCTGCTGGCTTGTTTAGCGAGACACTTGCAAAAGTCTTTTTCTTCTGCAGGGGCTGAAAAATGCAAGGTGCTGTGTGTTTACAGGATAAATGGTTGGAGGCGGTTCCCCCTGCTGGTTCTCTGAGGCAAACGATAGATGACAGGGGGAAAAGCTGGAAAGTGTCGCTGAACCACACAGCTGTGTGTAGTGAGACACCGGCAGCAGACTGAGGCCTTTTCTGGTTGACACTAGAATAGAAATGTGGCTTCTTAGACACTCGCTGCAGGCGAGGTTGAAATGCTGAACAGAGGAAAACACGCGGAGACGTTTACGGCGAAGGATTTGTTTCTGTTGTGGTGCATTCCCTTATCTCTGTGCAATTTTGAGGCATTTATTTGTGGAGCTTTGTGTTTGAGTTGACTAACTAACTCGGCTCACAAAAGTTTTCACCGAGCAGCAAAGTCATCTTCAGGGTATGAACTGAACGGCTTTAGTCTCTAGTTGCCTCTCAATAAACACGTTATAGAGACTATTTACTGTGGATGCACTGGTATCAGTGTTGGGCCTGATCATTGTTACTGATATACGTACTATGTAGTACTTTTCACTTCAACTAACACTCGTCAGTGTTGTGTGTTTTCCTACTGCCGTTCAGTGTCTCACTGCCCTCAGGGGTAGTTTCTGTAAGTAGGTCAACAATAGTCTTCAGTTTAAATGACACTTTGTTAACAGTTAAAGGCAGGAATCTGTGTCTAGTTCTATTTTTCCGTGGACAGAAAAAAAAGCTCTGCTCACTTTCTGGTCAGCTGCCTGTGTTGCCCATGCAGGAAGTCAGATTTATTTTTTTATTTATTTTTTTTACTTTTTGTTAGTATTTCTCAGCTTGGTGCCGTCACTGTGGTTTGGGTTGTGCTCACACCTACACACTGCACGTCACTCAATCTCCCACAGAGCTGTATATACTGTAACACTGCCTTCTAGTTTTGAATATATAATGAAATCCAACATAAAGAAGTATCCCTACAGGAAAGTAAACAAAAAAATACTCATACTTGTATGGGATTTTACCTCTTAGTAAATCCACTGGAAAAAAAACAAATATTTAATTTGACCGACCTGGAGTTGGTCAGAACTTCTCCTGATGTAAGAGTTTAAATGACAAATGTAGTTTGGTTTGTTCGCTCCTGGTTTGCAGCTATTCAAAGAAGTCACATGATCACAAAAATGTTAACACTTATGAACTTATTCAAACTCCTGTTTGCGTCCATTTTGTGTAATATACATATTGTACTATTATACTATATAATGTCAGTGGTGAACGCAGACGTAGTAGCATTTTTACTTTCTTTCTCAGGGCTAAAAGGTTAACACGAGGCCTCAGCATTTTTGCCTTAGAGAATTTGTTTTATCAATCAAGCATGAAACAGTTGTTGTCATGGGATTGGTCAGTTTTATTTCCTAAAGGTCTATCTACAGGCTCCTTTTCTGTGAGTCCAAAGTTGGTCAGTACTATATACTGAAGGTCTAACTACAGGCTCCTTTTCTGTGAGTCCAAAAACGTGCAGGTAAAACTGAGGTTATATTAGGACATGCTCTGAAAACACTGACACTCATGTCAGTGGTGGTTCTGAGCAGGCTGGCAGTTTTCACTGGAAAAAAAATATCCTGCCACTGCATTAAGAATTTTTGTTCACTGAAGCAGATGTCACAGTGTCCTTAGTGTTCTTACTATAATGTAATGTAGTTCCACACACGAGACACACGACCAAGTTGGGTTTTGTATAATAGAAAATACATTAATCTGATCGTTGCCTATGTCTATGTTACCACCATTGATAAATTCCCTCCTTTAGCTTCACAATTTTTCCAGTTTAAACTGTGAGCATTAGATGAAAGAATATGTTGGAAAATGAGTGAATGAATGAGTGAATGAATGAGTGAATGAATGTCCAGTTTAAACTACCAATCATTGGAACCTACTTGCAGAAAGGTCCGGTGTAGTTCTCGGGACAGAGACAGGCGTAGGTGTCCGGCCCGTGCAGACAGGTGGCTCCGTGGGCACACAGGTGGTTCTCGCACACGTCCACCTTCTTCTCACAGTCCACACCAGTGTATCCAGACTCACAGATACACTCGTGCGTCGGCCCCTGCGCGCTGCAGTTGCCGTGGACGCAGGGACTGGATTCACAGCTGTCGAGGAAGCTCTCGCAGCGTCTGCCGGCCCAGCCCTCGGCACAGCTGCAGTTGTAGGTGTTGAAATAGTCGTGGCACTCTCCCCCGTTCATGCAGGGGTTGGGTTCACACACGTTGGCCCCGCTGCAGCCGAGGAGAGGTTGCCGGGATGTCAGGAGGAACTGCTCCTTCTGCAAACGTGGCAGGCTCACGTCCGCGGAGCTAAAGTAAGGCAGGGCGATGCCACCCAGCTCCACCGTGCCCAAACATCCAACCAGGGGCCGGCCAGCATCAGAAGACAGGCCCCCCAGAAAAATGTCTACCCCTTCCCTGAGGAAGTCCAGGTTACCTCCGTGTCCCGTGGAAGTGATGGATTTCTCCTTCTCTCCATCCAGCACCAAAGTCCACTGGGACGTTAGTGCCCAGGGTGCTGCCATGAACACAAAGATGCGGTGCCACTCACCGTCACTGACTCTTTTGTTGCTCCTGAGGCTGACTGTGGACACAGGCTGCTCACCTCTCTCCTCGGTGTCAGCTGAAGTGGGGCTCTTCAGCTCCATGACAAAGTAACCATCCTGGACCGACAGCATGATGAAGGCTGGGTCCTTCTCCGCACGCAGGACGGCTGCGTTGAGTTTCTGTGTGCGCAGGTTTAGCAGGATGTTGTTTAGACCTTTGGATATGTGACCGTTCCCTCTGTAGGACAGGACCGTGCTGTCGTGAAGGAAAGTGGCGTTGGAGTAACCTGTAACATCAGGTAAAAGAAAATCAAGTATATCCTTAGACACAGTTTTTTTAATATCAATGTTTTGTTGCACTCCCAGCTGAATTTAATGTTGCAAAAAATGTATTGAAATAAAAACAATTACTGTAACATCAGGGAAATACACATCCAGTGTGAACGGTGTGGACTCACATTCATATCCCTTGTACAGCATGGAGCACTCAGCAGCTGGGGGACACGGGGACAGCTCACACCACTGCACCTCCTCACAGTGACGTCCTGAGGTGCTGGACGGACACGTGCAGCTGAAGGCGTCCCAGGTGGAGTAACACGTCCCTCCGTTGAGACATGGGTTTGACTGAGGAGCAGAAAACAATACCAGGAACGGTGTCAACTACGTAGACTGGTTTCATCAACATATTCGTCAACTAAAGATTTTACTCACACTACAGACGTTGTCTCCTGGACATCCAGTGTTGATGTCCTCCATGACGTCCAGAGGAAAAGACCTCACCGCGGTGTCCAGTCCAAAGAACTGCAGCTGAACATCATTGATCCTCAGGTCCTGAATGCAGCCCTTGAAGTATCCACCCAGAACTGCAGTGGTCCTGGTCTCGTTCAGACCTCCCACATAGACCTTGTCTCCCTCTTGGACATAAATGGGTCTTATCTCCACCTCCCCTTGTTTCTCAGCTTCTATGACCAGCATCATACGGTCGTCCATCACCTCCACACTAACAAAGTGGACCTTTCCATCGTTGATGGCTTTCTCTGCCCTCAGGACCTGGGAGGTGTTGACCTGCAGGGTGACCCTGCCGTCCATCAGCCACATGTGCAGGTACTGACTGCTGTTGTTGGCCAGCACCATGAGAAGTCCACTGTGTTGTGTGCGGAGGAAGAAAGAGATGGAGAAGTTCTGACCCAGATCATGTGAGACCGTGAAGGCAGCGTAGCTGGTGGAGTCCTCGTGTCCGAAACGTGCGGTCGCATGTTCTGCAAAAGAACGGGAGGAGACATTTGTACTTTGGAGAAGATCTCCACGGAGTGAGTGAAGTTCATTACATGCTCCACTTTATATCTTTGAAGTCACACTTTAATGTTTATATTTAGAAAGTTTTCTAATATATATATATTTAATTTATTTTAGTTGTTTTAGTCCTTGTTTTTTTTGGTGTCTGTCTGCTTGTGTTAAATAGTGTTAAATATTTTTAACGAATTAAATAAAATAATATAATATTTCAACCTCAATGTTTACATCTGAAAAATATCTTCATTGTGTATCAGATACATCTATTTCAGATTGTCACTGAGAATTTTTTTTTTCTGTCCACTCTTTTACACCTGAAAAATATCTTCATTGTGTATCAGATACATCTATTTCAGATTGTCACTGAGAATTTTTTTTTTCTGTCCACTCTGTTGTAGAACAGCACAAATACAGTAACTCCAAATAGAAAAGAACAGAGCCAGAAAATCCTTCTACCTGCTCAGTCAGACTAACTTTGTTTAGTTAGTGGCTAAAGAGTTTTCCCAGTTGTCCACAGACAACCTGCCGATGTGACCGTCCACCTTTTACAAACACACTTTAATGAACAAAAACTTTTATAAAATGTCTCCACCTGACTGGCCCACTGCTGACCTGAAAAGCCGTTTGTGTGGAGAGTAAAAATGCCGACGCAGGAAAGGAAATGTAAGAAGCCACCACTGCCCTCATACACACAGTGTCCAGCGTCAGCACTTACAGCTGCAGCGTGTTTACCTGCCACAGCAGCAGAACACCGAGGACACACAGACTGAGAGGTCAAACAGATTAGGAAGGGTCACGTGACTGTTGTGTAACAGCTTGGATTTGTATGGACAGGATATCACTGCACACCTGGGTGTGCATTAACTGTAAAGACTACTGTACGGAGGTGCTGGTAGGAGACAAGTGTGAAAATCAGCTGAGTTGTTTTTATAGAAGCACTGATTATATATAAGAGGATCAGAGCGTCTGAGGTTTTAATTGGCTTCATCTGATCTATTCCTGTTTATCCCTCTTTCACATCCAGCAGAATTTTACTCAATGGCTTCAGTGAGACGGACTTGTTCACATTATGACATTGAGTTGAAGTTTTGTCTTAAAGCCTGTGTTTGAATGTTGCTCTCTGTGCTGAGAGTTGATCATTTCTGGGCCTCGACTTCATTGTTCAAGGTCTTGAAATGTATACCTCTCTTTTCCACACTCAACAAATCCAAACAGTCACAACGTTGTCATTAGTCCAGGACAGCCTGGAAGAATCATTTACATCATTGAGACTCCACCCACTCCAGGCACCACCTTCTTAAAGTGATGCCCTCAATAGCACCTCTTACAGGTCAACAAGACACGCGATCGAGATTCAGGCCAGTGTTCTTACACAATAACTTAGGTTAAAAAAAAAAGGTTGTTACATATCCATAGTGTTACACACCTAAACTGTATTTTAATCATCTAGAAATAACAAAATTGACCTGATTTTCCTTTGCTGATTCAAATAACTAATATAAAATGAATAATTACATTGATTATTAGTAGTAGTTTAATTCACATGAACCAGTCTTACATGTGAGTGTGAACCTACCCTCCTCACAGTCCTGCCCGTCGTACGGCCTTGGACAGTGACACTGGTAGCTCTGCCACAGGTTCACGCACTGCCCCCCATTTCGGCACGGAGAGCTGAGGCAGTGGTCCCTGTGGCTGCAGCCAGGGGTCACAGCATGGCTGAACAGCCAGTCCACAAGGACGATGAGCTCCTGGTCCACATTAATGTCCTGCATGCAGCCGATAAATGCAGGGACTTGACTTTGTTGACTGGAGCTCTGAGGCATCCCTCCAAAGAAGAG